AAGAATCTTTAGATCCTTACCTGAGAGGTTTATGCCTAAAATCACGGTTATAAAGGAGAGTAAGGATATAGATGCTATTAAGATTAAAGAATTGGTTGGATCTCTCCGATTTACGAACTAACATTAGTTAAACCTAAGAAATATAAGTCTTTGGTCTTGAACACTGTTAGGGATGGCTATCATGTTTTTTTTATACTGAATCACTTAATGACGAGGAAACAACCTACTTTGTTAAGAATTTTCCAAAAATATTTAGATTCAAGAAAAAGACTAAAGAGACATAGAGGAGACCTGAATGAGTCTAGAAAGAATCTAACATTGTTTGATGTCACAAGTGTCAAGGTTTTGGCCACTAAAGAAGTGAGTGCCCTAATGGTAAGAGAAATAAGGGTAAAGCTATGAATGCAACTCTCATTGATGATGAGTCTAGCTCGGATAATCAAAATGAGAGGTCCACTCATGAGGAGAGTGAGAAGTTTATGGCCTTCACCGCTAGGATTAAAAGTAAATCTAAGAAGGTTGATGAAATAGATAGTTGTGAGTACTCTGGGGAAGATTTTGAAGATGAAGAAGAGATTCGTGAGGCTTATCAACAATTATTTGATGGGAGTCTTAAGATTAAAAAAGTGCATAAATCCGTGCTTAAGAAGGTCAATGAACTTGAGCTAGTCTGAGAGAAACTTGTAACCAACCTTCAGGAGTCTACCTTGTGCCTCAATAAATTAGATGCTACAAATCAATCCCTAGAGTCTAAGATTAAGAATCTTATTGGTGAACTTGAGAAGTCCTCCATGAAAGTTAGTAAGATGACCATTGAGAATGATAAATTAAAAATCCAGGTTAAGAAATTTTCGAGCAAACTTGAATATTTCAAGTCTCAACTTCTTGCTTTTTTCTAGTGATTCTGAGAAACTTGATAATCTTTTAAGGATGAACAAGCCTTCTGGTAACAGGAATGGTCTAGGCTATGATAGTTCTAATTCTCATGAAGTTAGCAATTCCAAAACCACATTTGTCCTTGCTAACAATAAGATTCAGACAGTATGTAATCCCATTGAACTGTGTAGGATGTTTCCAAATAGAAATCAATTTCAAGAATCATGTAGATTTGGTCATAGATATATTCCTGTATATTTTAATTGTGGTGAGTTGGGACACACAAGACTTAGGTACAAACAATAGACTTGTGAAAAGACGTAGAAATCAGGACATATCTAGTAGAGTTGACTTTCTTACTGATCAGATGAGTTAACTGACTGTGTTATTAAAATAATTGACTGCGAATAATCCTGTTTCTAGGGAGGTTTAGGTGAAAATAAGTGATCTAAAATTTTTTGAAATTGATCACGATACTCTTAAAGATAAGAGCATTTTTTACCTAACCGATCAGATATTTTTGTTGCATGCTAATGCTTATTATGGTTCATTCATTATTGCGGGCATCTCATTTTTGTTTTACTTTTTAGGTAGTTTGATTTTATAAAAAAAATTGAAAAAGAAAAACAAGGGAGGATTTTTTTTTTTTTTTACTACAACATGATATATATGATTTACTTGAACATGTGAAGGATTTTTTTTTACTACAGCATGATATACGATTTACTTGAACATGTGTGTTGTGACCGAGTATGAGTTCAGTTGATGTGTTTTAGCATATTTTCCATTACTTTGTTTAGGTTTATATGGAGTACTTAGTATAGGTTTCTTTATGTACCATCTGCACTGCACACACTATGATCTTGTGAGTGAGTCTTAATCGCGTGTGTAAGATTTGTGATAATCGTCATCTATTGGTAAGGTGACATTGAATGTGGATTGACCTTAATTTAGTATATACCCTTAAATAAATAAAAAATATTTCATCTTGTACTCTTCTACAAAACCTGTTTAACTCGAACACTTAAGCCCGAGGGTTTCTAATAACCTCATACCCTATGGTCAATTGATTTGGAGTTATTGGCACAAAACTTTTACATAGGTCATCTTGGTCGCTTAATAGAGAAGATTCTTCACATAAAATGTGAAAAATTAAAAAGAAAAATAATGAACTGAAAAAAATGTGCATAAATGAGCTTTATTTATATATGCTAATATGTATTATTGGTTTGACTTTCATTAGTAGGTAATAAACTTATTTAATATAGATATTTAACATGTCATTTCTCACAAATTTAAAGTTTGGAGTATTGATCACAAGAAATTAGTGGCACTTTACACATGAGTCATTTATACAATTTACTCCATTTAGATTTGAACCGAGGATGTGAAAAAGTTTACTGATAATTGATTATGCTTGTGTATGATATCAATTGCATCTTTGAGTTATTATATCTTGTTGATATAGTTTCAATCGTCATTTGTGACAAAAAAAGATAGAGATTATGGGCATTTTAGTAATGAAGAGATTATATTATTTCATTTGATAATATTGGAAGAGATGACAGTATTTCAATTGTTGGTTTTTTTGAGTTTTGATATTCTTTGATATTAATGTTTCAGTTAATGTTTTGATTAACATTAGTATTATTTATTAATCTAGCTAGCATATTTATGATTGTTTGTTTCAAGCGTTATATTTAATATTTTACGTGTTTTTACATTTGGTATTTGAGTTGGCAATTTTAGAAAACAGGTTTAATAAGGAATGCAAGAGACTGATATTTAGTTTAAGTTTGAGTAGATTAGTTTTTGTTTTTACTTTCTTGACTTGTATTGTAATTGTGTCACAAAATGTTAAATGGAGAGATTGTTAGGTTTTTACTTGTATTGACAATTTTTTAGACAAAATGATTATTATAAAAGAGTTATAAAAGCCAAGAAATATTTTGAGATGTTGTATGGATGAATTATAAGTCTTTGGATTTGAGTATAGAACATGAAAAAAGAGTTGTCAAATTTATGCTAGCATATTCCCTAACTGATGCTCGAGCCAAAAAAGTAAATTCATTGTTGCCCAACCAACATCATGTTTACTTGTCGCTTGCCTAGCGCTCGACCAACAGTGTTTTTCAAGAAACCTTAATTCGCGATTTTCGAGAGTTTCTATCATAACTACTTAAATACCTCATATTATAAATATCCAAAGCTCATTACGTTTTTGTGAGTGGTTGATCATTATTTTCTACTTTCATAACATTTCTTTGGAGATCAATCAGCGATTCTACATCTTGAAATCAATTAATCACAAGTTGAAAAAAATATCAAAATCATATAATCCAAAACAACAATTTCCTAGATATAATCAGGAAAGTATTTTCTCAGATGATGTTGCTGAAGATTAAGGGAGATAGAGATAGACAATTCCAAAAGATCGGAAGTAGGTGTGATGGAAACATGTTCCATTGGGTCTTGAAAATTGGAGGAATTAAAACAGTGAATCTAGTGAGTTTTCTAGCTAGGCTGGATCATACTATAAGTACTTATTGTTCGTAGTGGAGGTTATTTGTTTGGTTCCGGAGTTTTTACCACATTAAGGGTTTTTTCCATCAACAAATCTTGTATTATTTACTATTTTATTTATTATTGTAGCAATTCAACATTGATTAATAAACATTTAGAACAATTAGAAAGTAAATTGTTACTTTTAGTTGGTAATTTTAATTTCGCATTATTCACTTATTCATCCCCTCTAGTTGATTTTAGGTCGAACTCGTAACTTTCAAATAGAGGCAAAATGTGTAGTAGTCAAATGAACTTGTTGACTTAAAAAAATATGAAATTGACTCTCAAATTAACTAACAAGAAACTTCACATTTTAACTTGGATCACCTCACATCTCTATAAGTTTATTTGTTCATGGCCCTAACGTGTGTAGAACCACTAGATCTTAAATGTCAAATTCTTAAATATTGTTACATGCATATAATTTAAATCTTATATTTAACATGGAAAAGTCTAAATGTACATAATATATGTACATAATAGTGTCCATAATGTGATGTGGACAATATTCTATGTTGATGTGAAAGAATGAGATATGGATTAATGGTTGGATCCGATGTCATGTGTAATCATGGACACCATTATGTATAGATTTATGTACATGTAGCAANGTGTAATCATGGACACCATTATGTATAGATTTATGTACATGTAGCAATTCTCATTTAACAAATCTCCACATGTGTAGACGATATTTTTTTTAATTAAAACCTTACACGAGCACAATTTTAACACATGGGTGGTGACTAGATTATAACTCAGGATCTTTGTTCGCTCTTATACCTTATTGAACAATTTGATCTAAAAAGGTAAAATTGTAGAGTGAGCCACGTTATGTCATTCAAAACTTAGCCTCTATTTGGAAAACATTTTAATTTTATTACTTACAAAAAGTCAAATTTCAGTTTTAACCACATGTTAAAAATTATTACTTATTATTATCCACATATTTCGTGATCCCCATCACTATTCCTACTAAGAAATTCCAAAATAATAATAATAATAATAATAATCAATCTCAACCCAAGGCTATCTTCAACAATGTGGAGATCCTTTATGCCTTGAATTTCTTGTTTTCCTTACCTCTCTATATGTGGCTTTGATCACAGAGGAATTGTAGGAACTGTTTTGGAGAAGGTTCCAACAGCATCCTCGAGAAATTTCCACCTTTTCATACCTCAATTACCAAAGGTTTTAGCACTTTTAGAAACTTGCAAATGTCCGAGCACTCTGAAAATTCCATTTGCCTTTAATAGAGAGAGAAGAGTATAATGTGAAACAATAATTTTTCTAGCTTTTTTTTTTTCATTTTTTCCAAAATATCTGTGAACATTTATGCTGGTTACACGCCAGATAATGACTAAACCTATGTAGTAGAGAGCTTTTATTCGGTTCCCCCTATTTTTATTAACCACTATTATTTTAAGTTTTGTTGTCACCTTAAATATTGGGTTTTAAGCAAAAATTATACACTCAAAAGAAAACACACACATACTGCGCCCCCCCACCAGTCTTATCTTGTGGCATAGATTTTTCTCTGTAATTATTTTCCTCTTGTAATGGCAAGAACATCAAATCCTCTTGAAATTGGAAGAGTTATAGGAGATGTTATTGATTATTTCTCCACAACAGTTCAAATGTCTGTCACTTACAACTCCAAAAAGCATGTCTACAATGGCCATGAGTTGTTTCCTTCCACAGTGAGCTTTAAACCTAAGGTTGAGGTTCATGGAGGTGATATGAGATCATTCTTCACTCTGGTATATATCCTCGTATTCTTCTATAAACTTGTATCTATTTTTTGCATATGCATCATTCTTACATACAACAACAAGAAAAGTCTAGACCCGATAAATTTAGAGTCGGCTACAATAATTCCCGAAAAAATTGAAGTCTGTTTACGTGAATACATTTTTTGCAGTCTATTGGGTTCATACATTTCTGATATACAACAGCCACAATCTAAGCCTTATTCCACATAAATTTCAACTTGATACATGAATCTTTTCTCCTTTTATTCATCTCTTGTAATTTTTCATTTTTTTAGGTTTGTTGACTTCTTGCAGATTCTGATAGACCCTGATGTTCCTGGTCCTAGTGATCCCTTCCTCAGGGAACACTTACACTGGTATGCTCTACAGTTTTCTCTCAAAAGCAGTAAATTATAACATCAAAAGGAAAAAAGTTGACTAACCCGTCATAGGATATGTACCTATGCAAAAGCAAGATAAAAATAATTCACAAGACTGGAATTAATTAACTAGGGCTTTCTTTGGATTATAAGAATAATTAGAGTAACCCAGCAGCTCGTAAATTTGCATTATTTTGTTGAACAATCTTATTAATTTACCAGTTCAGATTCATGCTTGAAACAGATTTTTTTTTTAAAATGATGTAAAGAGGTTTCTTGGTATTTGAGTTCTACTGAATTAAGGAAGATGAGAAGAAAATAAAAATGATTTTACTAATAATAGAAGAAATTACACTACATATGTAGCTTTCTACTGACAACCTTAATTTCTTGGTTGGGTCATGCTACAGGATTGTTACAGACATTCCAGGCACAACTGATTCCTCATTCGGTATGTATTTTACTCTTAACGTCTGAAAGTTTAAGCTAATAGAGAACACGTCTTACCAACAAACACACAATTTCCATATATGAGAGACCCTACCCAGTATCAATGACCTCTGGTTGAATAATTTTACGCAGGAAGAGAAGTGATGAGCTATGAAGTGCCAAAGCCGAACATAGGGATCCACAGGTTTGTATTTGTTCTCTTCAAGCAGAAAAAAAGGCAGACAATGGATGCACCACTTTCCAGGGATAAATTCAACACCCGAAAATTTGCAGAAGAAAATGAACTTGGCCTTCCTGTGGCTGCTGTGTTCTTCAATTGCCAGAGGGAAAAAGCTGCGAGAAGACGCTGAAAACATGCAGAAAATACTAGGAGCTCTGCCTGTACTACGTAGGTTGACTGTTATCTGGAATTGCTAATAACTAATCCGCTTCTTCTTCTTCTTCATCAAAAGTCCTAATATCCAAATACAACAATCAACTTGTAATAGTACCTGTTCCAAATTTCATCTGGAATTGTCGGGATTTCTCTATTGCGATTTATATAATCCGATTTGAATTTGACCTTGATATTTGATTTGGTAATGCTGTTGAATTTTGAAAAGAACTTTAAAACATATTCTAGAATTAGTCTTTGATGTTGACTATGGTCGCTGATTTTGTTACACAATAAAAAGATCATTTCCAATATAATCAAAAGTGACTTTGTTTCATGTGGTAACTGTTTGTATATTCCATTGCTATTGCACTCGTTCTTTCAAATTAATATTAGGAGGTAATGTCGAAAACCACCAAGGCATGTGTAAAATCAAGAAGCATCTTGTATTGTCTGCTAACTGCATGAGTAAAAAAAAAAATGTTGGTTAGACCAAAATTTATTGTATAAAAGAATTTATTTATGGAAAGGAAAATGAAATTCTTGTTTGATAACAGTAGAGAAAAATGGAAGGATTAAAAAGAAAAAAAAATTATATAGTAAAAGGAAATAATATTTGAGTAGGTGAATGAAACTTACTAGAAGATTCCAGGGTCGTTTTTACAAATTCACGGCATTGCATTGAGAAATATTGTGCTTCACATCAAGAACAAGAATTTGGGTAGCCAAGGGGGCGAGAATTCAAGTAGGTCACGAGTGAGAAATATTTTGGAACTACCAAATTTGCAGGGATTAAAGTGCACGAAATGGAATAGCGAGTTCACTAGCCAATAATGAAATGTTACTTGTGCATTATGTACCCTAAAGTATAAAATTTGATATACGTATTGAATAATTCTTTTCTTATACTCTATGGATATTGAAAAGACATTAAATTAGCCCCCCGGGGCACATCCGAGGTGGTAAAGGATGGGCATTGTTGAGCTTGCAACCTCAGGGTGGGGAATTCGATTCCTGTATGGAGCAGCCGAATGTTGTAATACTCAATTTGGATAGAACAGATTGGTGATGTAATATCCATGGAGAAAGGCTCTCTCGGGGTCAGGAGTATAAAGGGTGCACGGACCCTGATCAACTTGAGCATATCCCGCGGTTAACTTCCACCCATTACTGAGGGATAGGAGATGGATGGTCCAGGATATAGTCTGATGTAAGTTGGGATACCTGGATATAAAAAAAAAAAAAAAAGACATTAAATTACCATATATTGTCATTTTGTAGCTGTCAAACGCTCAAAGATCCCTGAGAAAGTCAGCTTTAAAAAGATATTATTGACAGTCTTTAATGAAAGGTGCATTTTTTAGGGTTTTGTTTCACCCATTACAGGTAAATAAACTTTTTGCATGTACTGATGAACCACTGTTTATTGCTGACTGACCAATTAAGCATAGGCACAGCTAACTCTACTGCGGATCAGTATAATTGGTGTTTTTTCTTGGAATTATCCTCCATGTACATAACTATTCATTACCAGAATTCTTATAGATACTCACATGGTGTATGGGGCCCACATGAATTAAATATTATTAAAAAGTGGACCCCATGTATTTGTGTCTTGTCTGGAAAAATTTATGTGAAATTTTTCCCAGTAATTGTAGTAGGGTTCTTTTACTTGGAAGTGCAATCAACACCCGAAAATGGTCTGATTCGAATCAAATTTTTTGAATATTTAATAAATGGAATCGTCGGGTTTAAATTTAATTATGGAACCATTTAGATTCGCTTCCATTCGGTTTAGTTTGGTTATATTCGGTTCCGGGTCTAAATTTATTTTATAAATTGATCTATATTTTCATCTTTATTTGACGTGAGATTTTATCCCTTAACAAAACGTATCATTATAGATGAAATAGATACACAATATTTTTTGAAATAAAAGTCTTCTTACCATTAGATGCTTAGCCTACAACGTATATATTTGTCCAACATACTTCAATTAGTGTTCTCATAATTATATAAATATGTCATTTTCTTGCTTTCATTATCACGACTTCTTTAATTAAATTTTCTACATTATGATTTATGAAAGAAAAAAATTAATTTATTATTATTTTTAAGAACAAAGATGTCGATCCATTTTGTACTAAATCATGCTGATGTTTGGTCGCGGATTGGGGTGGATTTGGATGGGGTGGGGGTGGACAGAGAGGGTGTGTGAGCTTGGTTGGAGAATGTGATACTTTATCTAAAAAATTGTATTAATATTTATTTAATTTAATTGTTTTAAGTGGGATTTCTTTGTACTTTGAAATGTTATGGGACTTCATTTGCATTTTTTTTTTCTTTTATTTATTTATTATTTTGTTTTATTTCTTAATTTAAAAGGAATAGAACATTCGTTATTTGATGACCAAAATGGAGGGAATGACAAATTTTGCTACATAATTGAAAGTTTGAGATGGATTGTGCTAAAAAAAAAGGTTGAGGGTATGTTAGTTGCATATCGCAAAATTTGTGGAAGAAAATTACAAATTTTCCTAGAAATAAAGAAATATTTGACACTTTTAATTAAGTGATTTCTTGGAAATGTTTGAATAATAATTTAATCGAAGGATCTCACCAAATGTGTTGATAAAGGATTCTCTTTGAATGTATAAAACAATTTTGAAGTCGTTCCGTTGAAAAATTATTCCAATATATATCTACATTATAGTCACTCATCTTAGAATGCAAACACGTCAACTTTAGAATCTACGTCAAATTAAAATAAATTTCAGGACACATTTGGGGCGACGGGTGGCAAAGTGTCGGGTGCTACATTAATTGATCGTTCTCAATTTTTTTTTTTTAATCTCCTATTTATTTGTTATTTTCTAAATCTACCAATTTGTTTCTGGTTGCACCACAATCTTCTTAGAAGTTTAAATTTATATCCATATAACCGTATAACTAGTGAAAAAAAATAAATTTACTTTAACCCGTAAAATTAACAACAATTACACAAAATATTTGCTCTTCACCGGTATTATAATTAGGGTCATGCCACATGTACCGAGGAGGGATTACCGAATGGTATCCCCCCTCTCACATCGGGGGGTAGGGCCTCAGCTCGGTATTTTTTAATGCGCGCGGGGCTAGCAAATCATGTGAGAGGGGGACACAATTAGTGTAATTTGATCTATTTGTGTGTAGTTCAATTTTATACATCAAATAAAGAAATTTAAGTTTCTGTTTGGCTTCCATTAACATTATAATTTATTTTATCTCATTTCTTATCAACCACGTATTCTTCAATAAAATAATATTATGTGTAAATTCAATTTTTTTTCCTTTTTAATCATACATTTTTCAAAAAAAAAAATACTTTTCCAATCATTATAATCTTAAATAATGGGAGCCAAACGGGGGCTAAAACCAATAGCACTAAACATGACTCTCAGTTGAAACAACAAAGAGCAGTGCTACAAGTCAAGTCTCTGAAGTGATAGATTTGTGCTATATGACCAATTACTGTTAGTGCTATTTATGTAATTTAATTTTTTCTAATGTATGACTTGAAGTTATGATCATGACCCAAAGGTACGGTCCCGTGGGCCCAGGTACTTAGGCCCTTAAAGGCTTATTTGGATCTTGATGGATTGTTGTCCGCAAACTAAAAATTCACAAGTCAGACGTTGATTATGGGGTAATTTGATTTTCAAGTTTTAAGTTTCAAAATTCGGGTATTAATTGATTAATTAAATATATTAATGTCACAATTACACAATTAATAGTTACATGTGCATAGTTATATGTCACATTACATATTGTCAAATTAATTGGTTATAGATTATTTCATCAATCACAAATCAAAAAATAAAAAATAAAAAAGTTTATAATCACAATTTATTTGTCGGTTACTGATTTTCAAATTAATTGATCACAAATTATTTTTCAGTCACAAATTATGGAATTTTTAAGTTACAATTAAATAGTTGATCACATATATAACCAAATAGTTGGCCACATACACTAAATAGTGAGTCACATACCACCACCAACAATATCCCCACCATCACTACCATCGCGGCCACTTATGACCATTCTCACACTGCCACCGTCACCACCACCACAACAGCACCACACCACCACCAAAATCGCCACCACCATATCCAGTCAATTGCCAACAAAAATCACCACAATCACTACTATCACATCTCTAGCCACCAACAATCATCACTATAACACGCCACCACAACTACAATTATCGCACCACCACCAGAACCACTAACAACCGCACAACCAATCAAATCAACAACGATTAAAACAACAAAAAAAACCAACCAAAAAAATATGTGACCCGTCACCGTTGCATGGTGCCCCTGTGCAAGGGCGAGGGCAACAGGGCTCCCATTTTCAATAGTGGGTGGAACGCCTCTGTGAGGTTGTGTTCAATGTGATACTCCGATAGTGAGAGAGAGTGAGAAGAGAAATTCAACAGTGGGTGCGTCGTCGTCTGAGTGCCGCCATCTCCTACAGTTGGTAGAGCACCACTGTGAGTTGGCGTTCAACATGACACTCCGGAGTGAATAGAGAAAATGTGTGTGCAGCGACGATTTTCGACAGCAGGTGCATTGCCATCTTGTGTGTGACAATAGTCTCCGACAATGGGTATATCGTCCTCGCCGGATTAAGGATGTGTGGATATGTAAAGAGAGTGAGAATAGAATGAAATGATTTTTAGGGTTTGAACTTGAATTGGGTTGAGATATGTAATATTTAATTATTATATTAATATATGATATGTGAACAAATAAACTTCATAGCTTATTTATAAATTATAATCTTTAAACATCTGTTGGCATGTAATTTCCACTTTTATGAAAAGCAATTTCATTAAAAATCAAATTTTCTTCATTTTATAATTTTTGAAACACATACTTTTCATTTAAAATTAATATTTCAATTTTTCTTTAAAAGTCACACTTTTTTTTACTA